TCATTCAGTTCAATTTCCAGTTCTGTGTGGATCCTGATTTTTACCCCCACTCCTTCTTTTTTCTCCCATCGTACAGAACTCTTCACACGAAAAGAATGTATTTGTAGAAGCCAAGTTAGAAATGTGTCACATCGCATCGATCCATGCTAGGTAGGAGGCAGCTGCTTGTGTGCATTGTTCTCAAATTGCATTCATTGGCTTATCATTCCTATGCCTTCTGCCATATCTCAGTAGCACCTGCACTATTATTTACTTATTATACTTCTTTCCTAAACTTAAATACCACTTTTATCTTATTTGTTTTCCTTTGAGATGCAGGATACAATTTTTCCTAGTATGTAAGACAAAAACTACGTAATTTAAAGATGTTAAACCATGTACCCTTTACAATTATCTTGTGTAACTCCCCACTTTGGGAAACAATGCTGCAGTGGAAATTCATAAGCATTCAATAGCTCATATACTCAAGAAAGGTGAATTGAACACGTTTCTCGTATAACTTGTTTGAATAGAAAACAAAAAATCTATGCCTTCGGTCCTGGGGGCGGGGGGGGGGGCAGAAACTAAGAAGCATCCTTTATTTATCCTTTGATTCACAAAAGGGGAAGGACATTTATTTCTTCAACATGGCTTTGTAAACCATAAAATTAATTTTTATTACATAGTACATAAATGCATTTTTCATCCAAAAGGCCAAAATATTATAGTTAAGGCTGAAATCCTCTTTGATCATCTCCTCCCCACTTCCTATTAGGGCAAATCTGAGTTAGGAATTCAGATGGTACCTTCCAGACTTCCTTCTTTGCAGCTGGCCGCTGAAATCTCTGTTCATTTAATGTCCATTCATGACTGCTCCCAGATTTCCTTCAATGCCTTGAACCAGTAAGTCTTCCAGTCTTCTTCAAGGGGCGCTGTATGCTGGAGGCTACCTTCCACCTGCAGCAAGTTTACAGTTCCGCCCTAGCCTTCATTCCCTGCTTGCGCAAGGTCTTGTGATCAGGCAGAAGTGAGACTGGGGACTTCTCCGGGCCCTCCTGGGCATGCTCGTAGCCCCGTTCATGCACATGGCCTTCTAGACCCTGAGGGCTGTGTCACAAGCTTTAGCTGCCCCCGTGGCTATCTCAGTCCCCAGGTCTTGAAGTTTTTGACCAGGCTCTCATTTGCCCCAGCTGGTACCACAGCCTCAAGCAGTGGCAGTGTCACACGATGGCACTGATGAGTTTTCAACAAAGGCCCTGGAGAGAAGGTTTTTCCCACAGAGCGAGCTCTGAGTCCCGTTAAGTAGTGGCAGTGCTCTGGGGATGAGGCTTTTGAGGAGCTGCGAACCCAGTATGCCCCCCCCCCCCCCCGGTGGCTGCAGGGCTGACTGTCAAGGCTACTGTGAAGCTCGGGAGAAGGGGAAGGTAAAACACCACGAAACCTGCTCTGCTCACCAGGTTCTGATCCGTTACAAGGCTTTAGTTAATTTCCACAGTTCTGAAAAAGTTGATGCTGGCATTTTCCTTTTTGCTACGGTTTTTGTTGCTTTTATGGAGGAGTAGATTTACAGACGTTCTTCATCAAATTCTTGGAAGTCTTGCCATCTGTTTACTCACTTTTGACAGATGATGATGTTCAAGGTGATGCTTTTCTATTAATGTCATCATCCATATTCATGCCAAGAATTTCGTGGGAAATGTGGTCAACTGCACAGCAAATGCCCCAATCAACAAGGACAGCCTTTATTCACCTCTGTCGAGTGTCGTCATTCCAGAATAAGACCTAGAGTTGCCAGGTCTTTCAAATTTTATTAGAATCTGGAATTCCAGTATTTTCTATGAAATTTCCACATTTTAAATTTTTTTAAAAAAATATTTGACAGAGAGCGCGGGAGAGCAAGGGAGGGAACACAAGCAGGGGGAGTGGGAGAGGGAGAAGCAGGCTTCCCGCAGAGCAGGGAGCCCGATGCGGGTCTCGATCCCAGGACCCAGGGATCATGACCTGAGCTGAAGGCAGATTCTTAATGACTGAGCCACCCAGGTGCCCCTAAATTATAAATTATTGACAACTGCTTCAATTAAAATCAAAATGCTCCACCAAAAATAACACACCCATGGCAAAAAGACTGGTTTGGAGCGGAAAGTCATATGGAACCCATCACTGCTATGTGAACTTTTCCTACCAAATTAGTCTACTGAGTTCAAGTCAACAAATCTTTTTTTAGCTTCTGTTATGTGCCAGATCATGGGCTCTGTGCTGTAGAGTTGAAGGACACTTGCTGTCCCAAGCATATTCCCTCCCTCCAGTCTAGCAGTAGAGGTGGGAAGTTTCTTTTTGGTCACCACTCTGAATAAAGGGTACCTGTACACGGATCTAATTGCTAGTTTTAATTAGCAAAAGGCAAGATATCCTGAGAGGTTTGTTTAAAAGGGTCATTTGCAGGCCGTTTTGGGTGTGTGTGTGTGTGTGTGTGTGTGGGCAGTTATGCAAACATGGCGACTGGAGGTAGGAGAAAGATAAAGTGAAAGTTACATAAATCCTTCTGGGGCAAAGGGCCAGACAGCCAACTTCTAACCTGCATGAAAATCGGGGGCGGGGAGAGGGGCGGGTAGAATCCCATGGATTTTTCTTTCTTATTTGCTTCTTTGGGAGAGCATATCCTCTAGTAGCTTTTGAGAAAGGGTGCATGGGAGGCAAATTTGTGAGATCTCACATTTCTAAAAATGTCATGATACTTCACACTCAGCCAAGAGTAAGCAAGTGGGAAATCTTTTTCTTTCAAACCTTGACATACTCGCTTCACTGATTTCTAGCTTCCAGTGTTGCTACTGAGAAGTATAAAGCTAGTCTGATTTCTAATCCTATGTGACCAGTTTTCTATTTGGGGGAGCTTCTCTTGGTCCTAGTGTTTTGATTTCAAGACGGTGTGTCTTGGCAGAGGCCCATTTCCATCCATTGCGTTGAGCACCCTCCTACCCTTTCATTCTGGAAACGTGTTATCTGATTTGCTCTCCATTTTCTCTGTTCTTTCTCAAGTTCCTATTACTTGGATAGTGAATGTCCTGGTCTGATCCTAATCGTTTACCTTTCCATTTCTGTTTTCTCTATTTTTGGAGTTATTCCCTTTAATTCCAACTTCTAACCCTTCTACTGAATTTTTAATTTCTGGCAGTATTTCCAAGTTCTTCAAGCATTCTTCTTCAATAGCATTCTACCCTCCGTCTAAAGATGACTTATATTTTTTCTCATCTCTTTGGAGATAACGATTGTTTTCTGAAGCTGCTCCTCCCTTAGTCTCTGATTCTTCCAAGTTATTGGCATTGGGCTTTCCATTCATGTTTATCAGATGTCAGGTCACTCTTCATTAAGCTGGAGGACTAAAAAGCTGACAGGGGATTGTTCAATGAGAGTTTCACCTTAGGGCATTGGTTCTCAATCTTGGCTGGGGAGTGGAATCACCTGGGGGGCTTTAAAAAACACTGATACTGGGGCGCCTGGGTGGCTCAGATGGTTAAGCGTCTGCCTTCGGCTCAGGTCATGATCCCAGGGTCCTGGGATCGAGTCCCGCATTGGGCTCCCCGCTCCTTGGGAGCCTGCTTCTCCCTCTGCCTCTCTCTCTGTCTCTCATGAATAAATAAAATCTTAAAAAAAAACACTGATACTTCAGAAATGCTCATTTTATTGGTTTAGAGTATGATCTGGCTGTAGGGGTTTTGAAAAGCTCAGGTGATATTCCTGAGCAGCCCAGGCTGAGAAGACCCACCCCAGGGTGCTCCGGCTGAACCACTTCATTGAAGATCTTCGGATCTTTCTTTCTGGCCCATGGGGCTCTCTAGGTAAGACTCTTGATATTCTCCTGTACGCCTATGTTCACTGAATCCCACTTTTGATACGGTACCTTGACGATCAACTGTGGATTGTGTCTTCAAGTCTAGGGTCCTTCTACGTTACCTTCTGAGGATAAGCTTACAGGCTTCTGCAGGGTTGTAGCTGCACAGTTGAAAACAAAATGGGGAGCAATTTTATGGATCAAATGGCGTTTTAAACAGCTTTCAACTAGTAGTATTTCAGGCTCCTTTTCCCCTTCACCATCACTTCCAAAGGACATGCTTCTGTCAATTTTTGAGCCTTCAGGGTATGCTGCATGTAAACTGAGGCGGTGCTCACTTCTCTCCCTGTGAAATTAGAATTCAGCTTTCTTCAGTTAGGTTTCCAAAATTCTGGTGCTAGCAAGCTCTCTCCCATTCTTCCCAGTGTTGAGGGCAGTTGGGACTTAAAAAAACAAATCCTTTACTATATTTTCAGAGGAGTGTTAGGAGCATGCAAAATTTGATGTGTTCAATTGGTCACTTTTACCCGTAAGAATGGCTATCATTCTTTGTAACACAAAGCTCACTTATATCAACAGTTTTTCCATACATTTTTTTTTTCCAGAAATAAGAAAGATACTAGGGATTCCGAGCAAAACAATCTAAACCTAGTGAAACCATGGCCTCAGCAGGGACACTATGCTTTATTGCTGTTGTTGTTGTTGTTGAATGAGACCCAAAGGAGGGAAGAAGTAAGGCAAAACCATGTGAGTTAGTCGTGGAGAGGGAGCATTCGGGGTCTCCTGTCCAGAGGTAGACCTGGGCTCCTAAGGTTTGGCATTTGGATACTACGTTAGGAACGCAGACCCTGACAGTCAAAGAATGAATGGCAGCTCCTGGGCCTGTGTGGTCCACAATCACATTTTAGCTGTCCCGTATAGGGAAATCTGAATTTTTTAGCTTCTTTTGAAACATTAGCAGGTGTGATTGTGGCCTGCGATCTTGCAGGACCTCAACCAGCAGGAGCTGGGCTGCAGCTGCCCCCTTGGGTGGCACAGGAACATCATGCCCTATGCCACCTGCCTGGCCTCCAAAGGCATTTGAATTTGCAACTTTAGGGATGTGGTTCAGTTCAAGTTTTTACAAAGTAACAACAACAACAACAACAACAACAAAAGCAATCCTATTCATGGCAGAAAAACCCTACTTAAGTCAGAAAGAATTAAAACATTTATTGGGCATAAATATATTACATATACACTACAGATACAGTTAGGTATTACATATAGCATAGTATTTGCAAAATCTATACATTAAAATTGATACGGCAGTTTTAATACAATGTATATGAAATAGTCTAAAATTTACAATACAGGAAAACATACGATTTTTTTTTTTTCCTCCTAAAGTTGAAAAGCTTGGAATGTATGTCCAACAGTGAGGTAAAACATTTTGTCTTTCAATTTAAAGAACTGTGCAAGGATAACATTCAAACACATTCAATTAGGGCACTTTTCAATTTTGACAGGAATACTGATTTACTGTAGCCAACAAAACACAGTTAGAAAATGCCAACATTTCAAGTTGATAAGAACAAGGCAGATAATATGAAAAAAATCTTTTTAAAAAAGTTTTCTTTTGAGACCATTTCTTTGAGGACAAAGGGCGGTTTGCTTCACATGACTGGAATTTCTTGTGCCAGGGATGAGTTTGACATACAGAGCATCGGAAGCCAGACACTCATTCCTACGTATTGCAAAAGGGCAAAGAGATAAGGTTAATGTAACACTTTATTTTATTGTTCGTGTGTAATGGCAATATATATATATAGCTGTGTATCAATGTCACATATACATATTTGTGATAGAAAACAGTGCCAGATGGAGTAATAATTTTTTGACCAAAGGGATGATGATGAATACCAAATCACAGAGAACAATAAAATAAAGTGCAGTCAGCCGGTCGGTGACACACTTCAGCTTTCCGGTGGTTCAACAGGATGGAAATCTCAAAAAAGATAAAGTACTCATAGCAATCTTGGCCTAATGCATTATTTCATTTAAAACATTTCAACCAATTCCAAGAATTTCTTTATAGCAGCAGCTCTGAAGTGTTTCCAAAAAGGGACTTTACCCCCCTGCAAACAGGGATTTTGTACTCCGTTGAATCTTCATTGCTTAAAATAATGCCTTTCCCCCACACACAAAAAAAAACCAAAAACACCTGCCTGAGATGGTCTCAGAAAATGCAGGTGCAATGTTATAGTGGGTTGTAATGCACAATTAAGTAGAGGGCTGAGTTTTGGAAGGCCAGAACTTTGGCAAAAAACATATTTACCTTGATGCCATCACTTTGCAAGGCTAATTAAACTAATTATTATAGTCAATAACAAAATACAAAACTCTCTAGTACTTACTACATCAATATAGGCACACAGAATAATTCATTGATCTTAGAGCTTTCTTTCAAGAGATGATTATGGTTTTTTGGGTACATGTAAACGTCTTAATCACTGATAATGGATTTTTTCTTTTTTTTTTTGGCATTTAATGCACTCGATGCTCTTATCTTTTAAAAACACAAGAAAATGTCAGAAGATTGGTAATACTACAGCTGTTGCCAAGGAACAAGACTGACCTAAAATTACAAAAGTATAAAACACACACAAAAAATAACATGCTACAAGGGAAAATTAGTACATAAGTACATTTAAAAAATTTTACAATAAATAAAGATTGCACTGTAATTGGCATTTAAAGTACTGTATGCAGAATATAGTATAAATAAACCAAAAACAAAATAATGTTGGTTTCCCCATGACTTTGGTATGGGAATATTATAAGCTAGTACAGGATACTGCATCTTAAGACAACATAGACCAAGCACAAAATCGCTATGATCAAGAAAAACCAAGTAGCAAAAATATACAAAAACAGAAGCAGGGGGATACACTGTGTCTGTTGCACCCTTTTGGAATATATTTGCACCTCCAACTCTTAAATGTCCCTGAGGTACGCGAACATTATGGACTTCATATAAATAATCCAATGACTTTGGGTTAAAATTGATTATCTCATGACTCAGAATAAACATGCAAGAGTAACACTTTGCACTCCAATAGCACCTGTTGATCAAGGATCTCAAAGCACTTACAAACATTAGAATCCCCATTTTATTTTATTTCATTTTATTTTTAATGCATGGGAAACTGAGGCACAGAGAGGTAAAGTGACATGTTCAGGTCACGCAGCAAGTTAGTGACAGATCCAGGGAGGGAATCTAGGCTCCTTCACCCCCCAAACACCCTGTGCTTACCACCAAATATCATTCCCTCTCCACACATGGCCAGGTCAACCCCACAAAAATAGGAACTACAAATTAGGTAACTCTCTTTTGGGTTTTATCAGTTTTTATCCGCTGTTGAATTAAGATGATGTGCACTGAATTAAGGTACTGAAACTCAAATCACTTCATTGATACCTCACAGAACAGCCTAACAGCAAATCTTTCAAAAACAATGAGCTGACATGTAAGAAGACTGCTCACAATTAGTGTAAATCACGGACAATGGGCAGAGGCACTAAACTGTCACCAGTTCTCGTCATATAACTCTGGTCAAACATAACAGAATATAATAACTCTAGTGATTAGATTAGAAGTAGTTATACACAAAGACAAACAAACAAGTTAAAGCAGCTTTTAAAATAGCTGAACAAGGAAACAACTATTGCACAATGCCCTCTTAAAGTTACTGCTATGAATCGCTGGGGTAAAATCGACAATGTTCCATAATTTATAGGTGCATTTTGGTTACTTGATTTCTTAGACAGGCAGCTCATAGTGTTAAAAATCATAAGAAATACAGATTATTAAAACATTTTAAAGTACACATTTTTGATTTAAATGAGCTAAACAGTTAAATAACTGAGTGATGGTCGTTTAGGGCAGCCTTATCTGAGTGAACACATCTTCTGTACGTTGTTGTTGCGGTTGTGGTTGTGTGGTAATATACTCTGACAACACTGAAATCCTAGACCTGTAAGGACACACACTGTGATTCATGTTCACAGAGACAGATGATCAAGACAAAAGAAGTGACTGGTGAATATAAATTACTAAACCGTAACATGGAAGAAAAAAAAAATTAAAGGCTTGCAAAAGACATCAATGAAAACAGAATAAAGGCAAATCTGAAAATTTAAAAGAAAACATAAAGCTAGCTTTTGGTATCTGGTTTGCTTTTCTTCTTCTTCTTTTTTAAAAATCCAGTTTAATCTCTTCCTAGTTTTGCATTTCAAAAAGGTGCACCAAAACACTGATTTTTTTTTTTTTCTAGCTAAATCTGTAAAACAAGAGAAGTATATAAATCAAAGAACAGAAGGGCTTAAAAAGGGGAGTATCTGAATAAATGTGTGTATTAAAATGTGTAGCATTAAATTCATACCTCTAGTTTTGTTGGGTTTGTTTACTTCATTAAGAAGTACTGTAATATAAAGGCAAATAAAATGGACAAAGTTGCAAAGCCAACCACAATGAGGGCTGCAAACTGTTCATCAGTAGGCATCATGCTCTTCATTTTGGGATCGTCTGAGCTCCCCGTGTCCCCTGTAAGCATGACCTCGCTTCGTTGTAATACAAAAGCTGCAGAGGGGCTGAACGCTCCGCTTAGCTCCTGAGAGGTGTCTAAACAGCGGCGGCACACACACACGCGGAACCGGTAGTCTGTGTTGGTCTGGAGGCCTGAGATTTGGAATGTTGCTTCTTCTCCCTTGTATACCTTCAAGGACAAACAAGAAAGTCCTGGTCAATTAATCTGTAACAACACTGTGGTTTCTAACATAGTAATCTGATAAGCCAGGTCCACCAGGCCCCCGGTGTTTACTCCATAATAACCAGAATAACAAAACTTTGGCAGAAACCCTGAACAAACAGAATACAAAATCCAGTGACTGGAATTGCAGCTGACTTAAGTAATAAACACCTAATGAAATTTTAAGAGATTTGGCTGGTGAATAGTTAAACAAGAAAGTAAAATTAACTGAATCTTCCCTGTAGGAGTGGCACTGAGTTAGTATCTATAAAGTGCTTAAAACAGGCCTGGTACACAGTCACTATTTAGAATTTTAAAACAACTCCAAATATATTACTAAAACACAGCAATTAAAAGTCATAGGCATAAGCATTTTCAACCTGGCTATAGGCTACCTTAGTAAAGCTGTTAATTTTGCCCATTAATACAAATCCCCTAGAAAATAAAGTATTTCCAATGATCTCCACTTTGTCTGAAACACTTGCCAGCTAGAGAGTTAGTGGGAATCTGCAAATGTTGAGTGTTTTTAAAGGCTGGTGTGCAAACTTCTACCCCAAAATGGACATGCCACCAGTGAACACAGAGGCACTGGCCACGCCTTTAGTGTTGGGCAAGCAAAGATCTCGGTTTACAGAAGGGACCCAACTTCCAATGGTCACTTGGTATTTAGCCTTTTCTTAAGATGTTTCCTCCCTCATTTTCAAACTTCACAGGGAGACTTTGTCGTATTTATTATACTTTTGTTTAGTGCCTGAGTGCCAGAAAACCAATTCTGCCTGTTACTTATGCTGATCCAGATTCCTCATTGCTTTTGCTATTCCTCTGTAAGATTTTTAAGCATGCTCCTCCTGGTGCATCACCCTATTTCTTTAAAGACTGTAGCAACAGCATTAGCAACTGGAGTCATAGAACTGGGCTGGAGCAACCAAGTATGAAAGAGCTGTAAGAAGACCCAGACCACTCCTTTCTTATTGTTCCAATGATGAGTTAGTTAAATGGATGGTTTAAGACGAGCTTGCTGTCAGTCACGGTGATTGCCCCAACCCACACACCACCAACTATTCGAGAGTTCCACCTATAACCATGATGGAACTCTTTATGAATTATTTCCCAACATGTGAGTGGTCTCAAGAAAACAGTGGTGTACATTTTTTTTTCTTTAAAGAGATCTTTTAAACTGTGAAAGTTCTTTGCTTTCTTAATCTAGATTTAATTTCTTAATTTTAAATGCTCAAGGTGCTATTTTCTGAGAAATGTCTTTTCTTGGAAACCGTCGGGACCATTCCTGAAGGGAATGATTTGCAACCCATGGGACCAGTATACCAGTTTGATAAAGAAGGTCCCTCCACACTTGCCATCTGAGCTGTGGTTTCTTTCCTGCAACGTCCCCGTAAACAATCCATTCTGATTCTATGGTGATAAGTTAGCACTTGTATATTTACTGAGTTGGAGAGAAGCTGCCATCTAAGCCTTAGCTGCAAGATTTCCTGCTATACCTCTTTTATCGATTCTTACAGAGGTCACACTTCTTGAAGTATTTGTTTGCACTTATTAAAGGTCGAAAGACTGTAGCTGTTGGAGCTCTTCTCCTCTGTGCAACCCTGGGAGAACTGGGCCTGGTCTGACTGGGAGGCACTGGGCAGATCCTTGTCAAGCATGGGAACTGGAATCAGGATCCCAGGTCTAAGTCCTTGCTCCGTTATTTTCTAGGTTTGTGAACTTAGGCAACTAGCAGCTTTGAGTCTTAGCTTTTCTCCTCTTTATCCTGGGGTTCGTTAACAGTACCTAACCTAACACTAAGGGGGTCTGAGGGTTAAATGAGAAACTGGATGTAAAGAGTGCTTTGTGAGAGCAACATGCTGAAGGGAAGCCAACTTCATCAAATTTAATCCTCCTGATTAGAGATAAAGACACTGAGGATCACAGAGGCTGTTAATTTCTTAAGGACTCATAACAAATAAGGGCAGGGGTAGACCCCCGATGAGATCCCACTCTTAAACACCCATGCTCACCATTGGAACCGCCCCAGCCCTGCCTCTCCCATCCCCTTTGGTAGGTCGTGACGCCACCACCTGTCCTCTGCTTTAGTCCTAGTCTAATGAACAGTCTGACATGAGGCCAGTTCTCTTGGCCTGATTTTTGTCTTCCCAGACAGCTCCACTATCTTTCTGGTGTTTCCGTTAAACACCCCACCTTGGTTCCTGCTGTCTCAGGAGGAAAACGCTGCCTTCCCCTTCTGTGGTATGGAAAGCAGTGCCCCCCCTCCGTTTGTGCCGAGCAAAGGCTTGGCCAGCATTTCTGTGGTGTGGCCTCTTACTTTCTGCCATCAAACAATGACCTCATGGCAGAAAACCAGTTAATAACCTATCCCCACAGATGTTTCTGAGACTTTTGGCAAGTGGATATAAATGTTCACTTATATCTGTTTAGATGAATTCTATGGTTTCTGGAATTTGCACAGCTAGAGCTTTTGAAGAAAGCTGGCCCAGAAGTATATTTAATTTCTTAGGAACCCAATTCATGGCATCTTGGAGAGAGACTTCATATTTTCATTTTGATGGCTCTGCTCAACTCTAAATTCCCTGGAATGAAGATCTCTGAAAATGTATTTAGAGAGCAAAGGAATGCTACTTTTCTCGTACCATTTGGCAAAAAGCTTAATGAAGGAAAAATGAGTACCTAACTGAAGGGAACTTCCTTAATGACAAGTCCAATTAAAACGTAGGCTTCAATTTGTAAACGTTTTTCTTTTAGCCATTCTTGTTTTAATTGGAACAGCTCCCCCCTTGTACAAGCATTACCAACACAAAAATCTTAAAAAAACAAAACACGATACACATATTGAGTGTGGGACTGTGTTCCATTAATGCCATAGCAACCAGCACCATGGAGAGCCTGAATTAAGTAGATGCTCAGTGATGTTCTCTAATCAGAACCCTCAACGACTCAAGAGGAGATATTCTTACCCCACAGTACTTGAAAAGACAGGATGATTACCAGAAACAAGTAAACATGAACATTAAGTATGAGAACATACACCCAAACCACAGAGGCAACAGAAGAGGGTTTTTAGTACAGGGGGGCCGCCACCATTGTAAAGAAATAGAATCATTAACAGTAAGTTGTTTTCAGTGTATTGATAGAAAATACAGCGTTTCTAATATATTGTAGAAATGGTCAACAATGCTTTAAAGCCTTTTGGATTAATTCTTAGCTAAGGAAAAATTAAAACAATCCCAATACCACCCCCTTTCCTGTGGATTCTGGTCCCTGAGGTTTGACCTACCGGATCTGTTTTGGTGGAAACAGTCACAGCCAAGGGGGTCACCAAACTATAGGCTCATCCTGTCTGCACACAGCTGAGCCTCCACTGAAGTGACTTTCCAGGGGACCGTGCAGCTCTCCACCTCGGGATGGCAGGCCGCGTGCCCTGTGTCCCTTTATTTTCATTCATTTTGACAGGGGCACCATTATGGGTTTTTCCTCCTGCCTCAACCCAATTTAAAAGGCATGGCTCCACTTAAGATTGTCTTTATTGAAGTAACCAATCATAATATCGCAAGATGTAGATAAGCAATATTATTTTTATAAAGACTATTTCTGTTCTTGATTTGATGTACGATATATTTTAAAGTAACTGTGACATGTTTATTCCAAAGAGGAGGATTTAAAGTAATACTCAGATAACTAAAATGAAGAATCTGTGACCCTTAATTCAGAACAACATGCTGTGGAGTTGGAATCCTTTACCCCAGCGAGTCTTTTGGGGAGGACCGCGGGGGGCCTGCCTCTGGGCCAATGCCTGCGTCTCTTGATTAACGTTGCCCCTCTCGAGAACCGCAAAGGGGGACATAACTGCACAGCATTGTCATTTACACAGCCCATTCTCACTACTAAAGGGGCGGAAAGCCCACAGTGACTCTGAGCTAGGGGATGAGTATCCCTCCTGGTACAACAAAGCAGCCGAGGCTCAGTGAGGTGAATTAATTCTTCTAACATCACATGACTGTGGGATACCCTCCAGCTCAAGAGGGAACCCACCAACCTGCAAGCCTCCTTTGTAGAGGGTGCAGCACAGGGCAGGCTTTATGGTCCGAGCCGAGGAGGGCAGGTAAGGTACTGTTACTGAACTGTTTCTTGACAGTCTGCTATTTTCACCCCAATGGGCAATGGCCATGCTCTTCTGGTATACGCTGGGTATCCCTCATGGTACAGAGTACCTAACAGTTTCTCAATAAACCAGGGTCCTATACCTGGGCTCCATGAAACTGAAGATATATTTGTCTCATGTATGAGCATTTTTCTGATAGCCTTTATTGGATACTTAAAGGAAGCTAAAATCCGAAGAAAATTAAGAATCCGTAGAATGATGGCTTTTAAATACCCCCATGTTGATCTATTATTTTGCTTTGGCAAAGTTAAAGTCCATGTTTCAAGCAAAACATCAGAGAACGCTCTGGTGCCTGCCACATTTGCCTATAAACCTAAGTCTGGGAAGCAGAAAGACCCTTCCTATCATAGGTGATTTTTTTTCCCCTAAGTTACAAACACTTCCAAATCCACCCCACCCTGAAGCTTACTCTTATCACCACCACATGTATAATTAACTCTGTTCCTTTGAAACTGCCTCTTTCATGCATGCAAGAAACATTTACTGAGCGCCTAACTACGTGCCAGGGCTGAGAAAACAAAAATGAGGAACACAAGCCCGTATGCCAGTGGATCCTGTCTGATCAGTGCTGGGATGGAGGTACACACAGTGCTCCCTAAGAGCCCGCAGCTCTGCCGGGTATATGCTCAGCAATAATTACCTCCCATTTTCTTCTGCTTTGCTTCTACGTATTCAAAGCCTGTTATCTCTGGACCGTAATTATTTTAACCATCTCTTGCAGCCATAATATAAATAGGTTTCATTCCCTATTTCATGTCCAGAACAAGTGAATGAAGAACTCAAAACATCATGTTTAAGTTAATGCTTACTGAATAGGGAGAAGCAAAAAAACTCAGTACAAATTATTCCTGACTCAAATGTGGCTTTTTATGTACTACTGCCCACCTTAATCATTTCTTGGTAAATGTAGTAAACACATGGTTATGTGAAGAATGCTAATCCCCGTCTACTGAGCCTGCCCTGCGTGTTATGTTTTCATGTATTTCCAAAAAGAAACTCAGTTATAATTACAATAAGAAATTCTGAGGTATACACGTGTGATTAGGTACCATATTAGAAGTTATATGTCCATGAGTCTAAATATATAACATTAAACAAATAAAACATTAAAGAAATCTAAAGATATTAAGTAATCTCTACACCCAACATGGGGCTTGAATTCACAAACCCGAGAACAAGAGTTATGTGCTCTTCTGACTGAACTAGTGGGGGTCGCAAACAAATAGCTGATTAAAAACAACCAACCTGCTGATAAAATCTAAACTACTGAATGAATTTACCTGTGTTTTAGCAATGCTTGCAATGTATAGATATTGATCAAATAATGCTGCTTTTTCAATGTCCAACAGCAATCACTACCTTTTAAGAAGCAGAACATTTTTCTAACAGCAGGTGAAAAAGTATGGTATGTGGAATATAACGTTTTTAAAATAACAATGATGAACATGCAGTGAATGTACTGTTGGGACATGAATCGTTCTTAAATGTTAAACGATATGCTGTGAAATTCTGTAACATTTCATCTTTTCACCATTATTACATTGCTATGGAACAGGACAATGCTGCTGGCGTTAAGATGACGAAATCCGGTGCGAAAAACCCTAGGCTCTCTATCTGAGCTGAGACCCTGCAACCAGTCCCATTCTTCTGGGAAGCTGAAACAAACATGTGAAATTATTTACTCTGAAATGGGATACATCTGCTAAAATGAGACTGGAAAGTGAAACAATACAAAAGCGTTTTGCTCTTAAAGAGGAATGATGGAAACTGGACGATGACATCATCCACTGATGTTAATCAATACTTGGTAGATGTCATAGTTAAAAATAGGTTTTTGCAAAATGTGGTTAAAGCAATTCATTCTTTTATCTGATTTTTCGTATTAACAAAGTACATGAAATGTACCAAAACTTTCTTTGTTTTACACATTTGCGAGTATTCTTTATTATTAAATAAGGAACATTAGCCAGCAATTTAACAAAAACTCTGAATCAAATTATTTTCTACCTGTTTGTATCTGAAGCCTCTAGAGCTGAACAGAGAGGTCTTTACAAATTATGCTAATGTTTCAGAAGACAGTTTCTGAGTTTGATATACACACATGCCTCCATTAAAAGTTCTGGTAAGGAATGGACTTCACCTTTCCTTAGGGTAATGGTATCATATCCTGATTTCACAAAAATAGTTACTAAGTTCCCAGAAAGGTAACAGAAACTGATGGGGTATCCTAATCTTTTGTAGCCAGTGACTGATAATCTGTAGTGTTGGAAGAATTAAGGATCAAAAAGTATTGTGAAAATAAGAAAACCAAATTCTTTATCTGGCTATATTCCAGTTACATTCTCTCTTGCCTGGGTGTATCATGTGATCTGTAAAGGCTTGCTGACTCAAATTATGGTTCCTGGAGCAGCATGACCTGGGAGCTGGAGCCCTCACCCCACACCTACTGAATCAGGTCTGCATTTGAACAGATTCCCTGGGGATTCCCCTGCACAGGTCTTTTTTGGGGGAAGGGGCAGGGGCAGAGGGAGAGAGAGAATCCCAAGCAGGCTCCATGCCCAGCCCTGAGCCAATCCCACGACCCTGAGATCACGACCTGAGCTGAAATCAAGAGTCAGACGCTTAACTGACTGAGCCACCCAGGCGCCCCTCAGCTCAGGTCTTGATCTTAGAGTTGTGGGTTCAGGCCCTGCCCCTTAAAAAAAAAAAGGTTTCAGTAGTCAGGCTGGAACTACTTCCCCTCTGTAGTCAAACCACTGGCACTTTGGTTTTCAACTGCATAAAGATTTTGATATTTGTAAGCATCACGGCCAGTATCAAATACAAATACGGAATTTAAAACTCTTTATAAGGTCATGCTTGAGAACTGAACATTTAATACCTCCACAGACAAAATGTAAACTAGGGCTTATATCAAGAGGTACACGATAGGCAGTTTTTGTGATTGATTTTAAGAAATATGCCGCTCACCAGTCACTGAACCGCTCATGGCGAGAGGCAAAGGACTGGACTGATAAGCCACACACGTGCCATTCATACTAGTTCTTACCTGTTTGTACTCAGATTCTCTTCCAACCAATACCTGCAGGATGTAGTTGACAGGGTCACCTTTCATTGGTGGTACCGTCTCCCATAAAATTTCACATGAATTTCCTTCCAACTGTGTTACTCGAGGTGCTGAAATACAAATCCACATATCCAAGCTCAAAATTCAAAGTTATCACAATAACCGTCAACATTTTGGTAATATTAGAGTGGGAGAGTGCTTGTGTCCGCTCTGAGAGGGGAGTTTATTTGCCCAGCCTCCTATAAAACCTGCAGGGCACCCTTTACACAGAGAAGATACTCCATGACTAGTAAGCTATTGGTGAAAAAAATCCTTTGCTCATTATCCTATTAATAACTGCTTGGCCTGGATTGCATTTTTGTTACTTTTTTTTAATTTTTAAAAATTTTTTTAAAAAAGATTTCATTTATTTGAGAGAGAGAGAGAGAGAGTGAGAGAGTGCACACATGAGCAGGTGGAGGGGCAGAGGAAGAGGGAGAAGCAGACTTCCCGCTGAGCAGGGAGCCTGCCGTGGGGCTCAATCCCAGGACCTCAGGATCATGACCTGAGCCAAAGGCAAACGCTTAATCGACTGAGCCACCCAGGCACCTCATGTACTTTTGTTATGTTTTCAATAACTACTCAGCATGTTCTATATGCCTGAACTGGAGACTTTAGAGAATGCAAAAATAGGGACTGTAAACCCTACTTTCAAGGGAATTAAGATCAAGTTGAGGGAAGGGGCGAGCAAGGTAGGAGACAAATACAAAGAGAAACATAACGTAAAGGAGATTAAACGGGGGTGTCTGAACAAAATAGGAGGGACAGTCTGATCTGTGTGAGAGTCTAAGGAAGGTTTGAGAAGCACATGACATGTGAGATTAAGTCCCAGAGAATGGCTAGCACTGAGAGAAAGCCTTTAAAAATCAAGTTATCTCCTATTTGTATTTTTTTTAGTTCATTTTTCACCTACTGGACTTATAATTCTGTTGTTTTTTTTTTTAAGAATTTTTTTTTTTTTTAAGATTCTATTTATTCATTTGAGACAGAGAGAAAACACAAGCAGGGGGAGCAGCGGAGGGAGAGGGAGAAGCAGGCTCCCCGCTGAGCAGAGGGCCCAAGGCAGGACTCGATCCCAGGACCCCAGCATCACAACCCGAGCCGAAGGCAGACATCTAACTGACTGAGCCACCTAGGCGCCCTCATAATTCTGGTTTAAAGGAAAATTATATTAGTTTGTAGTAAAGCATGTAAAATGTTATAGAACTTTAAAATATTTTTTTCTCACAGCTTATGCTATATCTCTACAGCTTAATTCAGTACTTCAGATTTTTCTACTTTGTAACTAGAATGCATAACTCTTCTCTGAACCCCCTTACTCTATAAATTCTTTAGAGGCAGTGGATTCTACTTGCGATTCTGCTTCAGAAAAATACTGCTTCAGAATACTGCTTCAGAAAAATACAGGTTTTCTTAAAAATAAGTTGCAATTAGTTGGCCAAAACTCCATGCAATTTATGGAAAAAATAAGGGACCCTATCAGACCAAACAGCCCTCCAGCTAAGACAACAATTTCCTGAACCAAAACGGTAAAGGATCTGATCATGCGGCGGTGTTAGGAAACTGTCCTTCTGAAGAAAATATACATGAAATTCAAGTGCTTTCAATTCAGTGTTCCACTGTCCATGAACTGAATCTCCACCAACACACACTTAGAGAGGCAAAGGGAGTGTCGCAAAGACTCTTGATGTTTGCCAGCTGGTAAATGCGGCCAGCCTTCCTTGTCACAGCAAATCTATGAGCCCCAGTGTGTTCAGGAATCTCTTCTGTTACCAGGCGAAGCTGTACCGAAGGACTGGGCCATTTACTACCCACGGGGCGCAGCGAGCCCTTGCATGTGTTCACCATCTGTCCTAGGTTCGTAGTCACACGAAGAAGCAATTGCCAACGAACTTCTGGACTGCTGAGGGGAGGGAGCTACCATAAAGTACCCTGAAAGGAGCTAGAGGAAACCTTCACAGAATCCAAGCCAGACCCTGACCCTGACCCGGAGGTCTCTTACCCTCTGCGATGGACTCCGCCCTGGCTGTAGCTGACATAGCTCCTCCACACGGAAGCACACATGGCCTTGCTCCTGGGGCCACACATCTAAAGGACCTTTTCTCAAGGTTGTGCTCATCCCCCTGGCCACCCAAGTAATATACAGCAAACCCTCGCTTTTACCCAGATAAAACCTAGTTCAGATAAGCTGCCCGGTGTCCATCAGCCTCCGGGCATTTTGGGCAGCAGCTGGATAAAGGCACCAGTGTGGCCCACCCTCGCAAAGGCAGCAGGGACCTTCACTGGAATCATCCTCTTGGGGAACAAAAGGGCACAGGCTTAGGAAGCCGTGAAAGAGCTTGGGGGAAGGGCCCTACTGCTGTCTGCCCATCCTGCAAGTTGGCTGTGCATCATGGGGGCAAAGGCTCACCGGACCCAGTGGAGGGAGAGCCTGGGAAGGGTGGCTTTGGCTCACTCCCTGTCCCCACAAAGGGACGGGGTCAACTAGTCACTGGCAAACCTCAAGACAAATAGTCAAGGAGATGAGAAGAGGCCACGGCTGCTCTTTTTTCAAAGGCACCTCTCCACAGTAAGGGCTGCGGCCAGGGGACAGGCTGATGAAGTTGCCTGGCAGGTCAGGCTCCGGGCACCAGAGTCATCTGAAGATGGACACCAACCTCTGCTCCTCCTGACAGTCTCTGGGAAGGGAGATTCTCAAGCCCTCCATGGTGAACTGTCGTTAAGTGCTATCAACACCAGGAATTCACCCTCATTTCTAACCCAAAGCGTGTCTGTCACTCGGTGTGGTCCTTTCCTTTGTCCATCTCCTGTGGGGATGAGGCTATGACATTATTTGCAGTAATTACTTATACAGACCTGAGGAAAGGCTTTTCTGCAGGGAACCCGTTCCCCAACCTTCTCTTTCAGAAAGTTGTTAATGATTCTATGTTGCCGATATTAGAAATATCAGAAGAGTGTATTTAAGGTCAGAATCAAGCCTCCTACTCCAAGTTCCAACATTTCCTTACTCTCACAGAAGAATGTGCCAGAATTCACTGCCTACAAACCTTTGATGGTGGGGGGTATGCATTTGGTCGTGCTGAAGGTATAAGTTTCTGAGAAGGGCCCATCCCCAGCCTCGCTCGATGCCTGGATTCTGAAGGAGTAGCATGTGAATTCTGTCAGTCTCTGGACTTTGTAGGTGTGGCTGGGTCCTCTGTAGATGGAAATAAACCTAGAGGAAGGAACAGAATCCATTAGCCACCTGAACTTTTATTAGTGACAAGAAATTAATTATCACTGGTAACTGACCTCCTTCTATATACGAAGCAATGAAGTTAATGTTAACTGGGCACCTGAAAAATACAATGTCCTCTTTACCTGGATTTTCCAAATAACTGAGGTTTAGCTTGAAAACTCCTTCAATTTTAACCTTTGTCTTTGCAAGAGCTTTCAAAGCCCCTTTCCCAAACTAGTAAGAAGACATTTAAGATTACAGATCTTTGAGAAAACATTTTTTAAAAGAAGAAAAAAATACTTAGAATCCTCTATCAGATTAATCAAAATAATGGAAAAGCAGCATAGGTAAACTGGACAGCTTAAACTGGCAGCTTCTGGATCCTTCTCCGATCGGAACCAGGACTATTTTGTACTCTGCTAATTATTATCTCCAAGAGGCATAAGTGTAGAAGGCATGAAGACAGAAAATAAAGGCCTTCATGTTTTCAAGCGTTTTCCCTCAGGGTCTTGAAAACTTTGTATTTTTACAATGAAACTGGCTTACCTAGAACTAGTATATACTATCATTGTTTGTCTTTTTATAGTTAAATATAAAATTTTGGAAATAGCTGCCCCCCAATTATCCAGAATTTCTGCAGATTTGGGCCTTGAATCCTGCTGGCCCAGGGATGTTTGGACCCACTGCCAGTGTCTGAGGACAATCTGCCGTCTTCAGATACTGCTGGAAGTGGGTCAGATAGAATCACAATTTAGAATGTCTCGACTCTTAGGCCAATTTGGCCTAAGGGGTAGGCAGGATTTATGAATTCATTTAGCAAGCATTTCTTGAACATCTGCTGTGTGCCAGGCTCTGTGGCTTCGAAGATGAATGAATAAAACCAAATCCCTGTGGGCTGGCTGGTCCTGTGTGGGGTCAGAGTTTCCTGAAAGCAGCAGTGTCTCCCTGGGCCAGAGAACAGTCCCTCTGGATGGATGGATGGGTAGGTCTAGAGATTAAACAACTTTTTTAGAAAACCTCTCCGAGTCAAGACGTATTTTAAAACACCCACGCACTCATCAGCCTTCACAATTGAGTTCCTGAGCCCTAGCCATTTCACTATTTAATGTTCCCTCTGCTGTGCAAGGAACCTTTTACTGAGGGCTGAACATTTTCAATTTCAGGGAAAGCCAGAGTCCACTCTGAAATCCACAAATACCATGGCAACCTGTCCAGTGCTCTCGACACATTACCACCTTAATGAAGATACCCTTGCTAATGCTGGAGGCAAACAGCTATTCATTAACCCGGTCTCACCTAGGCCAGAATCTCTGACCAGACTCACTGCCCTTGGTTGTACCACAAAATGGAAGTCACGGTTTAAGAAGTAAACGTGTTACATCTTCATTACAAACCTGCAATAAAAGCCTGGTTTCTGGAAGAATTTGGGGAGAGTTCCTAGCAATACTCCTGCTTCCCTGCCATGCCCTGCGCTCGGGAGACTGTTTCCTTTTGAAAGTAAGGTCAATACATCTACGCGGGCAGTAGCACTCACAGTCATAGAGAAATGGACTGAAGCCGATTCAGGACTCTAATTTGCTAGTGTCATCTAAATTGGGCAAACAGCATACATATCAATTTTCAAATACATCAAAATCTGCTTCTGGACTGTTATTTTTCCCCCCCTTTTTACTGTTTGGCTCTTCCACGGCTGTATTTCAGTTCTTAAAAATTGCATCCCAATTTATAGAAGGCACTGTGGAAATAGGCACTAGCAATGAAGGACTCTGAAATTTCACCATTACAGCATTTGTTTAAGTCTGGGAATAGTGTTACTTACAAAAAAGAGGCTACATTTGCTTTCAGAAAAAAGCTAGAATGAGTCTGAAGGAGACATTCACCCACTGGATCTCAGGTTCAAGTTTACTCCCCCCTTTCATTCAGTGACGGTGGATTTAGGCAGGTGCGGGAGGCCCACCTTGTAGCTGGCATTTCCCTTGGAGAGGAAGTTGGGGGCTGGCAGCCTGGTGCACCCAGCAGAAGAGCACTGAGAAAGGGGTCGTTCCTTCTTCCTCCAGTCTTTTCTAGAATAAGCATGTGTCTGACTGGTCCTTTAATTTAGCCCTCTGTCTACTTAGGCAATAATAAATCATGACTGCCCTGCTTTGTCATGCCATACTCCCCTTAGAAAAGGCATGGGAAGGAATTCTAGGGGGAATAATGAAACTGGATGGGGCTAATTCCTAGGTCATGTAATTAGCCAGGTACGGAGCCCTCAGTCAGTGGAGGGAGGACGGTGGGCATGTGACAGGCTCTCTCCTGAGTCAAAGGGGCATGGGGGCGGCGAGGGGAGACACCAGGAATCCTAGCAGCTTTGGGGAGAAACATTCTGAAATAGCTAACAGGGCCAACTCCACCCCAAAGACCCACTTAGAGAAAAAGGGGTGTCCTGTCTTCGTGGGGCCTGCGTCCTAAGGCGGACGCACAGATCCAAGGTCAGAAGGAGCTGAGCAATGAAGCAAGACAGTTGCACTCCTGCCTTCTGAGGACTCCTCCCCACACCCTCATTCTGATGGGTGACCGAGAGCCACAGGGGCCACTAAGACAGAACAAGTCTGCCAAGGATTTTAAAAGTTCATACATAAGTTTATCTCTGTAAAGGTTTCCCGTACCCTCCTCCTCCTTGAGGAAACACAAGGCAGAGCAGAAAGAGAAGTGCAAGGAGGAGATCGTGGGGTGAGAAAAGACAAAGACTGGGCATTCACACTTTCTAATATGGAAATCATTGACCAGTCGTGTCTAATTTCATGCTGCTTTACTTTGAACAAAGAAATGTATTAAATGCATAAGTCAATGGATTCTAGCTAAATGCTCCATATAAGTCAGCTTGTCAATCAAAAACCCAAATCCTTCATAAAATCTCACCTTTCCATTTTAGGTCTCTGGAGCCATGACCTTCCTGTGTTAACAGCCAGCTTGGCACTTTTAATCTAACTTTAAGGGTTTCAAGAGTCTTAATTTTGAAAACCTTAAGGGCTAACACTAGTTGTATGCTTCTTCTACACCCACCCCCAATACACTCTTTATAAATGCGGCTTCCACGAGCAGAACGGGCACCGAGACTAGGAGCCGCCAGCAACTTATTTAGCCTCTCTGTGCCTCAGTTTTCTCCTCTGTGCCATAAGGGTTATCATGCCCCAACCTCCCTCATGGCACTACGGTCAGGTTTAAATGGTTAACAAAAGTGTTTAGCTCGGTCCTGACCTGTAATCACCACTCCACAGGCGCTAGTCGCAACTATTTTACAGTGCTCGGGTTTTTAACAAACTCCCCTCTCCCTCCTGAGAGACCATCTACACCCCCGCCGGCTAATCCTAAGGTTCTTTTCTTTTCTCCCGGGTGGAGAGTTGGCTGTGTGGGGACAGAGGCCATCCTGTAAGCCAGGCTTCACGCTGGCCGGAGGCGTCAGCTGTGGGGCTCCCTCGGGGAGCCCGTTCACCCTCGGCACTGGGACCCCCAGTGAAATGGGGCCAGGAACGCCTCCCTCACAGGTCTGTGGTGGGATTCGGTTTGAGAGCTCATGCAACTGCCCCAGTCCCTACGCAGAGCAGGCCTTACGTAAACGTCATGGATCCGCACCTTCTTTCTGTACGTGTTGACAGTGACTTCTGTTTCAAATAAAGGCCAACCCAAACAAAATAGAAAGCTCACAAGCCAACAAAGAGGAACAGGGTCCCTCTCTTACCACAATTCTGTAATTATTTTCTGTCATTCCAAGAGGCAGGAGAAGAAAGAATCTTCTTTCTTTGGAGCCAGTGATTTATGCCAGTTGCATGGTGGCCTCTCTGGGAGGCTCCGGAGGTGAACACCCTGTGGCTAGAACCACCCGGGCAGAGATTAAAAATATTCATCAAATATTTGTTTTACAAAGGCCAACCACATTTTTTTCTCTTTCCTAAATCTCTCTTTTTTTAAACCACCCTCATTTTAAAATTCATTAATAAGTCAGCCAGAGGCCTTTGGTGATAGAATTAAACATATGCTGTGTGTCTTAAGACAGCAATTGAAGGCTACACATTTTAAATGCAACCAAGGATCCAGCCCTTGGAGCACGTCTTTGCCATGACAAGAGCACAGGAGCCATCCAGCTCTGCTGATCCCTCTCCCTCCCCTTTTATTTGGATTTTCCAGGGTCAGTGCTTGGGTTCCACCTGTGTTCATGTACTACAGGGTCTGGGACATGAGTCACTGCCGGAGGCCAATGGGAGTCCTACTGTCTTGAAGGCCCTGAAACATATCACTTCAGTGTGCAGTGCCCCAAACCTGGGGAAAGGGAGATCCTTGGAAGGGGCAAAAAAAGTCAGCTGTGAAGGGGGGAGGATCTGGAGTAGCCGGGGTGCCTATCTAGTCAAAGGATGGTCAAAAAACTCTCACCAAGACCTCAATCCCTTGATTTCTGAGGGGGAGAGGGTGGCTGGGGCAATAAGGGATCCATGATGGGGAGATGTTCCGATGCTACAGAAACATGATGAAATATGTATAACCAATGGCACGGTTCCTGGAATATAGCACGTGCTCAGTAAAGTCACTGAGTAATTTTAGTGTCCGTTCAGGCTGAGCCATATGTAGCCACAGACACCCCTGTGGAATCATAGCTGCTTAAAAGTCATCCTGGAGCTGTGGGCCCATACTGGCTTTGCCTCTGAGGGGGTCTTCTACTCTACTCTCTACCCCTGCTGCCCATGGCCGCATACCTTGGGTGGCATCAGCCCCATGACCCAGGGCTCCCGAGAAGACCAAGAGAACAGGTGTGGGAACACCCATAGAACTGCCCCACTGGCTCAGGAGCTGAAGGCACAGTGGGTAAAAACAATCACTGTAGTCCACAGACTTGAGTTTGAATTTGGGTTCAACAGCCTGGTGCTCATGGGCTCTACAGCCACGTACGCTATTTCCATCTGTGTAAAATGGTGTGATAACAGGGCCTCCCCTCAGAGGCTGTCGTGAGAATCAAATGG